GAAGAGGGAGGAGCTGGATTATATAAGGTGTGTGTGTGATGTGTGTGAGAGAGTTTTGGAGTTTAGAGAGATGAGAGAAATTGTTTGAGAGAGTGAGATAGATCTGTGAGAGTTAGTCAGTGAGGGAAAAGTATGTGTGAGGTACATTAAATGAGACACGTGATTTACAACTTGATTTACTACCTGTGATTCATTCTTTTTATTTTGTCAAATCAATAAACACAGTTTTTGTTTTAAAAGAAACACTTGTCCTTTTTGAGTATTAAGGATAGGTTGGTGGCAGCAGTTTGAAGAAGAGTAGTGAGCACTCTGGGAGGCCTGAGTTGACAGAGGCATCAGAGTGGCCCGCTACATAAATGAATTTCTTATATATTTTTAATGTCTACGATTTCCTGAAGAGAAACAGTTTTCAGAGAAGTGGCCTTTGAAAGTGCAGATCAGGTGTGATTTTTGGTGTGCCATGCACTCTTTCACAACCAATGTGCGGAAGAGACCTTTTACCCCACCTGAAAAAGCACTGAGACTATCTTTATGGAACACAACTCATCAATTTTGAAAATACACAACCTTGTTGACATATGGGTGTTTTGTAATTTTTTGCTAGAGTACAAAGAGCTGGTTTTGTTAAATAGAATCTCTTTAGAGCTTGGGATCTGCCCATCTAGAAGACTGCGTACTATTATATTAACCTGCCCAACCTGCCTCTTCATCATAATTGCTTCAGTCAATGGCCATTTGCAACTGGATCCTAGCCATATGCTGTAGTCCTGTTCCCTTTTAATTGAGAATATATGTGATTCACTGAAGTCAGTGTCAGTTGCTTCTCAGTAGACATGTACGGCAATACACTATTAGCATAATAAAGTGAGACTTGTGTTGATTTCTTATCAATATGGATTAAGAATGATTTTTCAAAGTTATATGTTAGTTATATGTTATGTTTTAGTATTTTGGGTATGATTTGGAACAAAAGATTGGATTCTAGTCCACAGCATACAGAAATGCACCCATCTGAACATTTGCTATCAAGGACGGTTTCAGGAATTGAACTTTGGTTTATTTATTGCTGATTATGCCCCAGAGTTTTACTTCATATTGTATTGTGAAATAAGTTTTTGTCCCTTTCTTTCCTTTGCACTTTGTTAGAATTTTCACATGAACTCATGTGCTGGTGAGAACACTAATATCTTCCAGTGGAAGTTTAGCGATTAACCCATTCCTGTGAAGGCAGATCTTTAAATACGAGAATTCATGTTACATATAGAAAATTTAAAATGTTAGTGTCAGATAAACAAGAAAAAATAAAACAAAGCAAACCAGTGTTTCACATTGCCAACCACTGGTCAGCAGTGGATGCAAAAGAGAAAAGGCACCATCTCGTTTTGTCCTGCTTACACACACATGCAGATGCACACACACACACGCACACACACATACACACACAGAGAGAGAATCACAACCCCACCATATGTAAATTGATGGAGATAGGAGCTTCCTTGTGAATTTATTTTATGGAATACTATTGCATTATTGTTTCATTTTAAACACATAATTGTATTTAAGATGTCAGTTAATTAATGACATAATATAAGGCTGTCACTTACCCCTTCTCTCTGCCAGATCCATTCCCCTAGACAAAACCTATTTTTGATTTCCTTTCAGAGGCCTGTCAAGGAAGGCATGCTTCATTCTTGTCATATACTTTTGCATCTGAATAAGGGGGAGGTACCTGGTCATGATCTACCCTCAATTGAAACTAATTGCTTGCGGAAGTATTTTGGAATTAGGTGAAGGGTGAAGTATTATTTTGAAGGCTGCAGATTGCTGACCACTGCTTTAAGCAAGAACACAGATAAACCTGGGGCCCCAGTCTCAAGCACTCTTTTCTGGTGGTCAGTACCACTGAACACAATGGAGATTTGCATCCAGTCATGTGTGTATTCACTTTTAACATAATTACAACACTGTATGAATTCTTACATTGATATTGTGGTATAATTTGAATAAGTTACACTGGGGAACACAAAGGACAGCCCCACAATGGAGGGGAATACAGAGTGTTGCAGTCCAGCATTTGAACTACACTATTTTAACTGTGCTAATGGGTCTTCAAAATATAAGAAAAAAGAATGAGACATTTTAATTTTTTTTTCTGATAGAGGTCCCCCCATGCCCTATGTCAGTGACGGGCAGATTTTAAAAAAAGACTAGGTGTAATGTCTGACTTCATATTTTACAGAACACATAGCAAGAGCTTTAGCGAGTCCAAAGTAGAAATCTCCAACTGCCAGTAACTCAGAACATACTATAAAGCTAAAAAAAATCTCTTTATTAGATAAAGTGAGGGTAAGTTTGTTCATTCTGTAAAATCAGATGCCGCATTCAATGGGAATCTGTTTGATCAGACAGTCTTTCTCAACCCAACCTACCTCACCGATGCATTTTGAACACTGGAAAAATACTTCTTGGAGGAAATAGAATCTGTTTTTGTACTATTTAACCATGAAGAATCTGGTAGTCAGAGGGAAAAAATAAATCAGCATACCAGATAAATCAAAGAAAGCTAGGACTGGACTGTCACTATGCTAAGACCATCACTACAGGCAGTAGAGTACTGTGGGTAGCAAATGTGTGTCTCCCTCTTTCCATCATTCATCGCCCTGCTTGATCTCCCAGGAGGAAGGCATCCAGTCACTCTTCAACATAGGTAGAGCTGCTACCATATGCTTTGCCAAACAGCCAGAGAGGGAAGAGGCAGATGGTGGCCCTTGTTAGAATTTGCTATCCCCCTTCCCCACTTTTCCTTTTTTTGGCCCAGCTCTTGAGAGGCCTCTTACAGTCAAGGCACATGGAGGAATGTCCAGAAAAATCATATGTGCTGCAGTGTTGGGCAGTTTCTCTGGAGTTCCCCAGCCCACCCTGGGTGTGCTGCAAGACAGTCAAGCAAAAGTCAGTTCTAACAAAGAGCCTCTTGCCATGCTGCCCCCTATCCCTTCCATAGAAGGAAGTGTTTAGAGATGCTGCTGCCTGCCACAGAAGTGCTTTTCTTCCCTGGGCCAAGCAGAATTGGCAGCAGCACATGGTTTCCCACCTGAAGTGGTGAGAAAATTGGGGTCATCCCTTGAGGAGATATTCCTTTTCTGGCAAGAGTATATAGTTCTAGCTATCTCCCAGAGACAAAATGATGCATTCTTGTCTATTCTGCTGTCTATGCTATGTTGCACTGTTTATCAGAATTATTAATTGTAGTAGACAGAATTATTGAGTGAGAGATATTAAAACCTACCAAGTGGGTTTAACTTTGGGTTATCTTACAAGCTTGTTGAATAAGTTCTGTTTATTCGCTATTTTACATTCTAATCTACCTCAAAAGGTTGTTGTGAGGAACATTGGATGAAACACTGAAGCTAACTTTCTTGGTTCTGTTTTCTTGTTTTACATGAACAGTAATCTCATATCCCCATAAATAGCACAAGGAAGATTTAAATGTAATTTAAATCCTAAATTCTAACTTTGTTCTGTTCATTAGAAAGTGAATCTCACTGAGTTTATTAGAATTTAATTTCTAACTGAACAATCATAAAATTGCAGCCTTTGAAGCATGGAATAAAATGTTATAGTTTACTGATGTTTGCACAAAGCTAGTTTTGTGGTACTGTTTCTATGCTCACAGCCCAGTTGGCAGTTTGTTTGGATGAGTCACATGTTTTCTTTCTTGAATATTTATTTCGAGATAATGCTAAAGACACACATACAAAAAAATAAAAATAGAGATCACTCAGCCAGAAGACTTATTCTGTAATGCAGTTGCCGTATATTAAAAAATATCAGATTTAAATGTAGATCATCATTCTGATATGCAGCAATTATTTTATTGTGCAAAATTATTTTATTGTGTAAAATAATTGTTTTAATATTTTTTAAAAAACAGACATATGCAAGTAAAGAGTTGGAAGAGCAGTTGCGGTCTGTATCCAGTGTGGATGAACTCATGACAGTACTTTATCCAGAATACTGGAAAATGTTCAAATGTCAGTTGAGGAGAGGGAGCTGGCAACACAGTAGGGAACGGCCCAGCTTCGATGCAAGATCAGAGGATTCAAATCCAATAAAATTTGCTGCCGCACATTACAGTGCAGAGATTTTGAAAAGTAAGTATTGGAAATTAAATTTGTACCACATACCATAAATCAAAATGCAAGAATGTCAATTTTTTTGTACATGTGGTAAAAGTATAAGCACTGGGGGGGAAAAATACTGAGATGCATGATTTATTACACTCAGAATTTTAGACCTCCCTAATAACAAGAGATTTATAGTTTATAGTTTCTGAGCTATATGTAAAACTTACCAGGACAAATCAAGGTGTATTGATGCAGCATATCTGTATGCCTGGTTGTTCAGGTCAAGCATAATCTTCTGCAAGATCAAGATGAATAAAACTAGGCAGCAGCCAGTGGGGCAGGGAGGCTCTGAGTTAAGAAGAATCACATGGAATCTAAAGAAAGGATAGGTTAATTTCTGGTGGAAGCTGTGCCAGTTCCTCTCTCAAGCTGCTTAGAACAAAGAGCTAGGGATGGGTAGGTGCTAATATCAAATAAACCAGTCATCATCCTTGATATGTGGGAGGCATTTCATTAATGTGATTTCATCCAGGTCCAGAGTGGAACAAATTGGTTGTGGGTCCCCCAGTGAGTGCAGGAGAAGGATATAGTATGTCTGTTCACTTGGTTGTGGGTTTAGACTTGTGGAAAGTAACAGACAAGAAATGTTTGACTACAAATAGGTCAGAATCTAAATCACTTTTAGTTACAAGCACATATGGACTCTGCAGTTCAGCAGAGCACCATCTGGAAAAAATCCACAATTCAAGCCCAAGAGATGCTATACAGTGCCCACCCGCAACCTCTAGTCAAGGGGGTGGGGAGAACAGAGACATAATATATGCTTTCCTATTTAGTTCTCTTTTGACCATGATATAGTCAATAGACTGGAAAATGTTCTCTAGGGAAATTTTTCTTCAGTGAATTTAGTCTTGGCTTTAGTGAAGATGCATTTTTCCTTTTGCTTTTATTAGATCATAATTATTTTTGCATTTTTGTTTGAAGGAATTGCCCTTGTATTTCCTAAGGCTGCTGGTCTCTCACAAAAAGTACTGAGACTGTGGGAGTAGATTGCTGCCTCTGACATCAGTGACCTAATGTATATCTATCCACTGTGTTTGGGAGACTGCAATTATTGCAGTCTAATCAGTTTCCGTAGCAGCACTAAATTAATTTATTTTAACTTCATTTTCAATATTTTAGTAAGGAGGCTCATAAGAATCATTCATCTCATTTCCTGCAGAAATTAATAGCCATCACGATTTCCTTCATAAAGCCAACTGCCTTCTTCTTGGTTTCAACACATCCATTAGCCATACTAACACTCTTTCACCCAAGTGCTACAAACTTTTCCCAGGACTTGTAAGTTAAACAGGCCCTGTCTTCCAGAAACCTTCAGGACCAAGACTGAAAAAGAAAAAGAATTAAGACCTGAGAAACGATTGCTTGTTTTCAACCAGAAAAACAGTGTCTGATCCATGACCCAATGAGGAAAAAAAATAATGTTGATGCTGTCACATAGGTCTCAGCAGCTTGTCTCAACATGAGCAAGAATTGCATCATTTCCAAGTTTGGCGGTGCTGAAATCCATATAACCATGCCAATCGCTGTATTAAGATTAGCATATATTGGGCCTGTCTTTAAACTTTCCAAATACTGCTTCAGTATTGTTTACAACCCTTTGAGCAGTTTTACACCTGCATGGATCTGAAGTGGGGAACATCAGAGCACAAAGTGTGTTGGCGTGTCATTTCTTTTCTCTTTCTGCCACACATTTTCTGCTTTTCCTGACATTCCTTTTTCTCTCGCCCCTTTTCCACCCAGAGCTCTTGCTGGAGTTTTTTCTGGCATTGATATTGCTGCTTAGGAACTCCTTTTATACATCTTTTTTGTTGCCCATCATTCCAAAGAAGATATACAACGTATCACTTTCCAAGACAAATCTCTATTGTACTTTGATAGCACAGGACAGTTTCATCAAGACAGATGGCATCCCCTATTGCACTTCAGTTATTAAGACAACATGTGTTGCACCTGAATTTTCTGCATGAGCGAACATGGCATTTTGACACAAATTCTCCCCCACACCATACTGGTGATGAGGCCAAAGGATCTAGTTTATTTGTGTTTTAGGAACTTCTGCAGGGCTTCAAGTGACCTGCCCCTATGTGAATCTTATAAAATCAAGAACGTAGCACTTATATTCCTCAGTAGCTTCTGTGACTTGCATTTTGATCCTCATTCAACTTGTGTGAAGTTCCTTGAAGCTCCTATAAAATCAGTAAGCTTCGATAAAATCAAGCATTTGCCATTTATATCCCTCAGTAGCTTCTGTGGGTTGCTTTTGGTACTAATTTGATTTGTGTGAAGTTCCTTGAACTTGTGGCTGCTTGTGATCTCTCACTCTTCTGTTCCTCAACACAACATTTTAGTGTTCATTATATTGGCAAGGAGACCCAATGAATTGTATGCTCTTTGTTCTGATCTACTTTGTTTTTCTGTTGACAGACAAGATATTGCTATGTTCTTGCATGTCCATCTAAGGTTGCTTTAGATTTTTATTTCTACAAGGAATTGATGTCATGGAAAGCCCAAAAGCAATGCTTAGTCTTGGCGGGGAGGGTACTGTGGTTTTCTGTCTGAACAGAACAGCTGTCTTCATAATTATTTCCTTTGCTATGGGGATTTGAAAAGTAGCTTAAAGTGTTTTCTCCCAAAAGCAAAGCAAAAACCAAAGTTTTTTGCTTATATACCTCTCCCCATAGTGCTCAAAGCTCTCTCTGGGGTGTTAACAATTTAATTATGCGGGCTATTCATCCCCCCCCCAAAAAAAAACAATTTTGGAAGGATAGAAGGTTGAGTCAGCCTTAAGCTGGCTATCTGAGCTGAGGATTCAACTCAGGCCATGAACAGAATCTTTACTGCAGTGCTGCAGTTTTACCACTGCACCAAAGGCACTCATATTGAATTATTTCCATTATTACACTGTTTCAAGACAATCACTCCTGTGTGTTTTGACATGACAGTAAGGTCTGATGGCTTTTAGGACAATGCTGCTCAACAGATTTTTTTCATATTAACATAAGCAATCAACTCCAAGTGTGCTAGCTCTCAGACTTGCATATATGATTGCACAGAAACTATGAAGAACAGCTTGCTTGCTTTTCTTTTGATGGGACATTCTCACAACAGTCATGAAAGAAATGAATAGGAACTACCTCTTAAGTATTATTTCTACATCCTACCTCTTAAGGATTATGTAAATCTTCCTTTTGAGGGCAGGGGCATGAACATCAGCTCTCAGGATTGAGACCTAGAAATATCCAGGATGGTGCTTTGCACAAGCACAGACCTCATTTTTGTAGTTGCACATCTCAAGAATATCTGGAAAAGGTTAAGCAGTGTATTTTCTGTGAGGCTGTGAGTCTTCTCAGGTAAACTATCTCCGTAGCTGTTGGACAGTCTTGTAAAGCAGTGGTACCCAACCTTGGGCCTCCAGATGTTATTGGACTGCAACTCCCAGAAGCCTTCACCACCACCTCTGCTGGCCAGGAATTATGGGAGTTGAAATCCAGGAACATCTGGAGGCCCAAGGTTGGGGATCACTGTTGTAAAGGATCAGATCAATAATCACTTCTGGGTGCTAAAGGAAAGCAATATTTGGCTAGTTTTTTAAAATATATATATATGTTTTATGTACAGTAGGGTCTTGGTTTTGAGCTATTTTTAAAAACTACTTTATAACCTACGAGCTTTCCCTGTAACTTGGCAGGTATTGATAATGAGTGGCGAAAAACTCAATGCATGCCACGTGAAGTATGTGTAGATGTGGGGAAAGAATCTGGAGCAACAACAAACACCTTCTTTAAACCTCCATGTGTGTCCATCTACAGATGTGGAGGTTGCTGCAATAGTGAAGGGCTGCAGTGTATGAATATCAGCACAAACTACATCAGCAAAACGGTAGGTTGTTATATCATGCCTTCATCCTGAGTTGGCTTTTATTTTTAGGTGTGTGCATAGCCCTATTCAGAAAGGGTTAATTTGAACACATGGACTTTTAGCCCAATCACCTGTCTGTTGCTGCTGCCACCTGAAAGAGGATATTATGAAGTGGAAACTGTGTGTTACACATGAAGAGGAAAGTTTCTGCTGTATCTGGAGCTTATGTATGCAATAGAGGAATCTTAAAAAAATCAGAGTTATTGATAGCATGGAGAGGCTTCTGAAAGAGGATATTATGAAGAGGAAACTGTGTGTTACACGTGAAGAGGAAAGTTTCTGCTGTAACTGGAGCTTATGTATGCAATAGGGGAATCTTTAAAACAATCAGAGTTATTGATAGCATGGAGAGGCTACACATACAGCAGACTGTCTCCTTTCCAGAGTGCCCTTCTACATATGAATATGGTGACAAGTAGTGAATGGGGGCTACAGCTTTCTCTTTGCTCTCATTTTGAAATTAACCCCTTTTGCACTCCTGAATAGGGCTACAGTACCACTCTTATTTTGCTATCATCAGACCTCACTTGGACTATTGCATTCATTTATGGGCGTTGCAGTTTAAGAAGTATATAGGAAAAAAAACCTGGAATATGTCCAGATGTGAGTGACGAAGATGGTAAAAGGCCCTCTAAGGAGTGGCTGAAAGAGTTGGTATGGGTAGCATGGAAAAGGAAAGATGAAGAGATGATATGATAGCGATTTCAGATATTTGATGGTCTGTTGCATGGGAGAAGGAGCTGGCTGTGGAGCTAGAGGTTAGTCCAGTTCCCCACTGCACATCCCAGAAGAGCCTCCAGTTCCCCACTGCACACCCCAGAAGAGCCAGCCTATGTGGCCTTGGGCAAGCTGTACAGTCCCAGGATGCCCCCAAAAGAACGGAATGGTAAATCACTTTTGAGTACTCTTTGCCTAGAAACCCCTGAGAAAGGTTGGCCAAAAATTAGAATTGACTTGATGGCACACAATCACATGGGAGACAGAGCAACCTGTTTTTCTGTGGTTTCAAAGGGTAGGATGAGCTAATAGATTAAAATTACGAAAAAGGAGATTTTGACTAAACATTAAGAAGAATTTCCTGTCAACAAGAGCTGTTAGACTGTGGAGCAACTTGCACAGAACATGTTATATGATCCATCTTGGGAGATTTTAAAACAAAGTTTAAATGGCCAGCTATCAGGGTACTGAAGCTGTGTATTTTCTGTCTTGGCAGGGGGTTGAATGCAGTGACCCCTGGTGTTCCTTCTAATCCTTCAATACTATGGCCACACAGAATCTGGAGTGACAGTGCAGTCCTGTGGTTAGAGACCTACAGAGTTGCAAGAATTTTTTAAAAAATGTATGACGCTCAAGCAAGGATTAAGAATCTGCTTGGTGTGTTTATCGAAAGTGGTAGAAACATTAGGCCTAGTTCTAGTTTTTGGTTTGACCTGCACATCCAAAAGGTGAATTCTTAACTTGAAACTTGTTTGATTTACCATGAATATCTGTGGTTTGGTCCATTACAGCATTTACAAAACAGTAAAATGTATACTGTATATAATCTCACACATATCTCCTAGATATAAATACAGAAAAAACATAGCTAGAGTACAACTAATCTGTGTTCTCACATAAGTAGTCTCACTTAAGAATGTAAGAGTGAGTTTGTTATCTAACACAACTTTGGAATAGTCAAGCTTGCCTAATATTGTGTTGGTGTCCATTCATTGTTGCTACCAAATGTTATGAAAGTTGTTTAGAAATGGAGAATTTTCCTTAGACGAATTATGCAGTCTGGAAACTTTTCTACTTCATAGCTGTGGGTTTATTCAACCTTGAAACTGGTTATTAATATACAACCTGTACCATCTTTAAGCAAGGGATGGTAAACCTGTGTACCGTAGGGTCACATCAGTGGTTTATGAAGAGGCAAGGAATCACAGCTATTTTAGCTATATTTAATTACTTACACATATACTTGTTTTGAATTTTCCATAAACATAGAGGATGCCAGAATGTGGATAGGGATCATCTTTCTACACTGGCTGTTAGGATTCTTCATTAGACTTTGTCAGTGAGTACTTTGCTAACAAGAAGTATGTGCTATTTATCTGAACATGTTGAACATTCATAAGAATGATACGACTAGGCCAACCAACAAAGTGACAATAGTTTAAACCCCCCTAAGTGTTGTCACATTGACTGAATAGTTCAGTGAGTAAGGTATCTTGGCTATGGAGCCATAGGTTGAGAGTTCAGTTCTCCACCTCTGCATCCAGAAGAGCCAGTTTATATTGCCTGGAGCAAGCTGCACAGTCCCAGGATGCTCCCAGAATAAGGGAATGGCATCCTATAAAACCTGAAAAATGGTGGCCATAAGTCAGAATTGACTTGTCCACAGACAATTATTATTAAATATTATCACAGATTGTCATTTTTAAATAGTGTATTGTATGGTTTAGTGAATAAGAAATTTCAAGCACTCTGAGTATTTCTTTGCTGATCTCTAGTTTTATTAAATGTTACTTATGCAACTATTATTACTATGGAAGTTCATAGATGATGCAGAAGTGTATTGGGAACCAATAACCCTTAAAACCACCCTGCAGCAGTATGCCTACAGAGATTTTTATGTTCTTTTATCGTTCAGATCACCATAAAGAAAAAATTATTTTACTCCATAGCCTCTATAAAGAAGTCTGTAGGGAAAACATCTCAGAATAGTCTGTGAGTTATTTTCTCACAGAAGCAAGCAGACAGATTTAAGTGGCTTGTAGAATCTGACTTACACATTATGTTCACATACACCATTTGGAGATATATGCATTACTGGAATGCTTGAGTCATTTGTAAAATATGGAATTATTTTTTCCCATGCATTTTTATCATATAGTGCAATAACAGATTATTTAGTAAGTATTATTGCAGTTGACATGTACATTAAATACAGTCCCTAATTCTGCTTTACAGCATTTTGATTCCCCCCCCCCATGTTTTGCACTGCATCTTGGTTTCTTCAGCAGAGTACACATAATATGCTAGCACACTTTTAACAGAATCTGTCATTAGTATTTTCATTTTAGGATTGGTTGTCAGCTCATAAATTAGAGAAGGGAACAACCCAGCTTTTAAAGTCAGTTTAGAGTAAGATCATACAAAACAGAAATGCAAAAGGGAAGTAGCACTACCAAAAGATGAAGAAACCACATAAGGAAAACTATATATTGAAAAATTATATTTTGAACTAAATATTTTTAATATATAGGCAAGGACACCAAATTTGAACATTACTGCAGCAAGTAATTTTATGCAGCTGTTATCTCACACAGGAAAAAAAAGCTCAGTGGCACCAATTAATTTACATAAATGTGCATTATAATTTCCATCAAAAAGTTTGAATAGTGTTAGAGATGCTGAGGATTGTGTGGTATTGGTTGGTGTCATATGCCAGTGATCATTTAGAGCACCAACCTCCTACACACTTGATTGTAATGCATTCACTGGCATTCCAGATCAACATATTTTCGTAGAAAAGAAGTGTTAGGAAATGTCGTTTTTGCCACATGCAGAAGCATTGTGTAATTAATACATAGAACTTGCTCTACAAGTAACCCAAATAAGATTTGAACAAAAATGTGCATCATTAAATAAACAACATATCATTGCTTGATTGTTGGGTTTGGTTCCTCTTTGAAAGGAATCACTCCTGGAAATAGTTTAGTATAGTACATTAATGAGAAATGCATTACAAATTCCACTGGTCGAAGGCAACTTCTAAGCTTGAATAATTATTAGATAATTTTAAAGCGAATATGGAAGGATAGCAGTAGTTAAGCTAATTACTGTAATTACTTGGTTACAGTTAGATGCAAGCAGTATGAATCTTCATGGCAAGTTGAATTGGAGGAAACAATAGTTGTGACTAAATTGGCGCTTTGATTTCTACTAGACTTAGTCAAAACCAACATCAGTTAAATCTGGGGCATTTGCCAGTGTATTTTGATTAATCTGTTTTCAAATATAATAGGACTAAACTCCTGCACACACATAACTAAGAGTAGTCCCACTAAACTCAGGCTTTCTAAATAGACATGAATGGAATTAAAGTGGAATTGATTAAAATCATGACTTAATTCACTGCTTAGAAACAAGCAGGTTAATTGTGAGATTCCCTCTCTCCCGCTCACAAAAAGTTGCACTCTTGCTTGTTATAATACCTTAATACAATAATTCTGCATTCATTGACACTTTCAGTGTCTGAAAGTACCATTTTAGAGAAACAGGTAAAGTCCTGACTTCACTGACATAAAGCCGCAGAGGGACAGGAGCTAGGATTCCCCCGTAAAGGAATTAGGAAAGCTATTATGAAAGGAAGGTTTTAATATGATGTCCAAGAACTTCCAATAGTAGACTGAGAGAGAAAATGGGGCTAGGGATAATTTCAGTCAGAGCTGGAAAATGGGACTGATCAAGCAGTCTGTTAAGTCTTGCTTCCATACATTGATGTTAACAATTATGAATTTCTACAGACACAAACGCAGTCTGAGAATGACAAGGTTTTCTAATAGCGTAATCTAAACTGAGCATTAGGCAAGTACCAGGTTTCCCCGAAAAATAAGACCTAACCTGAAAATAAGCCCTAGTAGGATTTTTCAGGATTTTTCATGATATAAGCCCTACCCCCAAAATAAGCCCCAGTTAAGTGAAATCCTGCTCTCCACCATTGTGCAGCAACCAGAAGAAGATGACATGACTGTATTTGAATAAATGTAGATTGTTGTACATGAAAAAAATAAAACATCCCCTGAAAATAAGCGCTAGTGCGTTTTTTGGAGCAAAAATTAATATAAGACCCTGTCTTATTTTTTGGGAAACATGGTACTTTGGGAAAAGAAATAATCGATACTAAATTTTTCGGAGTTGCTGAAAGTTATATCCATTGGAAATGTTGAGCAGAAAGTGGCTTCAGCCTCCTCTTCTTTCAGCAACCCTGAAGCAACCTCTTTCCCCACTTACTGATTTTGAACAGGATTGCTAGGGTGGAAGTCAGGTTCAGTTGTCCCCGCAGTGTGTATACAAACACATCTGGAGACACAAAGTCTCCAGCCTTTCCACTTACACCAGATATGGCCTTTGAGACTGAAGAATTGTGAACCTCTGGATTTAGAGTAATGGTTCCCAACTTTGGGTAACCCAGGTGCTCTTGGACTGCAGCTCCCCAAAGCTTTTACCCCTATCTGTGCTGGCCAGGGTTTCTGGGAGTTGCAGTCCAAGAACACCTGGGTTACCCAAGGTTGGAAACCACTGCTCTAGATGTAACAAATTATGTAGAGATACATGGATGTGTGAACTAACCCTAAGTAATCCAACTTCAAATTGAATTAAGATTTTGAGACATATACAAAGTCAAATAGCCATCAATATAAATACAGTACAAGCCAATTTTCCTGTTGTAGGGCAAACATACAGAAATCAGAGAATGAACATGCTGAGGAAGAATGGGGTCATGTAAAGAGGGTCTGGCTTTTTTTGTGTTTTCCAGTGGACTTGCAGGACAGAGTAAATTGCCTTAAATATGAGACACAGTTGAGAGAGGGAGAGAGCAAGTACCTCCTCCAGCGCTGTTATGAAGGGCTGCAAACAACTCTGGCATATGCACAAATCTGTCCCTTTTACTGTCACCCTTATAAATGAATATCAGTCGTAGCTGATGTTGAATATGGAGTAAAAGTGTCCGCTGTCCACAGGACTATCCTATAGAAGGCCTTGAAAATCCAGTGACTTCACATTGGAGATCAGTCACAGAGAGTAGCTTTGCACATCTTTCCCCATTATGTAACTAGAAGTATCCAATGCCTGAGCACAGACTCCATAGCAATTAAACAGGCGGAATTCCAGTACAAAACTCTGGAGTGAAACTTATTTTTCTTCCGTATAGGTACTGTACATGATTCCCACTGAATCCTGTTAGATGAAGGAAAATTCACTGAATCCATGTATTAACCTTTCAGAAAAGGATTAGTCTGAAAGCATGGATGGGAAAGAAGAATGCTAACCTTATCCCTACCCACCCCTTGCTGTCCCAGCGTGGCAGCTGACAGTCCAAAGAGGAGAGATACACACAGAACCTCCATGATGTTAGAGAAGAACTCTTATTTTCCATTGTCCTCAATTCTACAGCCGGCCTCCTTGCATAGCTATAGACCATTGTAACCTCCATAACAATGGAGAGTGTAGAGCCAGCTGGCTCACACCTCACACACTGCCTTTTCTGAATGCCCGAATAAGACTGTTGTGAAACATAATCAGTCATACCATGTTAGTGTACTCTTGCTAATTTTTTCAACACCATCTGCAAAGTACTTTTACCTTGACTAAGAAACTTATCCTTCTCATCTCCATCCCAGCAACCTTCTTTAGTAGCTTGTAGTGAGGAGGTAACACACTTCTAGAATCCTACTCATTAAAAAATCAATCTGGGTAAAAAATTTAGTTTGTCAGAAATTTCTGTGAAGAATTATTTGTATGCTAAAGGTTTATTCTAGATTTTTGTACATTCTTAATTATAAGGGGTTATTTTCTTCTTCCTGGTGATTTTCATTTCTTTGCAGTTATTCGAAATAACTGTGCCATTGTCTCATGGTCCCAAACCTGTAACAATCAGTTTTGCGAACCATACATCCTGCCGCTGCATGTCCAAACTGGATGTATACAGACAAGTCCATTCAATCATTAGACGCTCTTTGCCAGTGACGCAATCACAGTGAGTATTAGACCTAAACTTTTTTTATGTTAGAGGAAATTCCTTAAATTCAGTTTAAATTTATTGTGTGTAGTTTGAAAAGAATGCCACATTGTTTACTAGAGTATGATATCATAACTTCATAATATACCTAAGTATATTATGAAGCTGGGCCAAACTAGGAAAAATTAGTATGTTTTTTTGTCGTGTTTATTGTGTGATTTATGCTTGGCAAAAATGATGCAAAACGTTATCCTAAAAATATTGGTAAAATTAATGCAAATGTCTTCTGCTTTAATAGCTTGTTTTTGTGGGGAAATCATGTAGCAAAATTAGTTTCGAAATTATATACATTTGTTTAGTTGTTCTGAAGAATATATGACTCTATCCCAGTCCTAATTATGAAGTCTTCAGTTCAACTGCCATTTACCAAAATACTGAAAACTAAAATAAGGGATCTTAGAATTTAGTATCTCTAAATTGAAAGAGTTAAACTTTGGACAACTGTCAGTATTTTGACCTGCAACAACAAGACTAGTGTAAAAATCTCACTCATGCAGGTGTGCTGAATTACACTTTGTAAGTGTATGCAGTGGTGCCTCGCTAGACAGTTACCCCGCATGACAGTTTTTTCGCTAGACATTGACTTTTCGCAATCAATATAGCGATTCGCAAAACAGTGATTCCTATTGGGGAATTTTGCTGGACAATGTTTGGTCCCTGCTTCGCAAACCAATTTTCGCTAGACAACGATTTTGACAGCTCCCTCCACACTCGCAAAATGGGTGTTTTCGAGATCTAAGCTTCGCAAGACAGCTATTTAAACAGCTGATCAGCGGTTCGCAAAGTGGCTTTCATATGGCCGATCTTTGCTAGACAATGGCGATTCTTCCCCATTGGAATGCATTAAACAGGTTTCAATGCATTACAATGGGGAAATGCTTTTCGCTAGACAATGATTTTGCTAAATAGCGATTTCAGTGGAACTGATTGTCATCGTTTAGCGAGGCACCACTGTATAGGATTGCAGCTTTATTGTTTTTAATCTCTCAGTTGTTTTTAATACATCAAATTTACTGTAGATACACACTATGAAGAATAGCACATACCTCATGATCTTTTAAGCATTTGGTTCTTAATAAGTTTTTCTGTCCTGATCAGGCCTAATTCTACTGACTGTAGGAATTACTTTTTTGTTTCACGTGTCATTGCAACACAAGTCAAATATTTCTTTTCAGATTGTTTGGCATCCTCATCCACATTTAAAGAAACAAAACATTAAATACTTTACATATTGGACTCAGCTCAACAATCTTTCTTTCTGTTAGTATCAGAGCATTGCATGATTTAAAATTATGGCCATATGTGTAGTATTGGTAAAATTTAAAACAAATTAAGTTGTTAAGATAATTAAATTGTTTTAACCAGAACTGGGCTACTTCAATAGCGCTATCTTGGCCATTTGCTAGATCTTCCTTTGTACATGTGGTGGGGCATAAATTGCATGCATATAAATGTAACAATGTGCTGCTGTGAATGTTTTCTTGTACTGAAAGTAATCCATTCAGGAGAACTATTCACTCATACTGACAGTGTGTTCAAGGGAAGGATATGTAACAGGTTGATGAAGCTGGCCTTCTTTGCTCCTTCAGGACAGATCAGTGCTGTTCCTGATAATCTAGGGCTCTGTGAAAACAGTCCCAGTGATCATATGAAGATTTTGTACACAGCAATAAAAGCATGTAGCCTCCAAAGTTTCTTCTTTTCCATGCAATTAAAAATAGGCAACATGAAAGCCTGCTTTGTTACCTCATTGCCATTGCTAAGACAGATGTATTAAGCACCCTGAAATAGCCCATTTCCATATGGAAACAGTTTTAGCAAGTCAACATTGGCATTATTCATTAATCTGGCTTTTTTCTGGGTTCTTCAGTTCTTTACTGAGCAGCTGTCTGAACGGATCTATTTTCCTACTGTAAGTTTCCTTTAGTTAGGAAAAGCATGGCCTGTTCGTTATGTCCTGTGCTAGATCACCACCTGCATAATGTTATGTATTTTGGCTTAGATTAAATTGGATTTCATAATCTGGTAGGCTTTGCAGCAGCTTTGTCCAGACTTGGAAAGCACTGATTGCAACAGAATATATAAAATGTGACTAAAACCAAAGCTTTGTAAGGTCTGTCTGCTGAAATATATGTGATCTACGTACAGAAGCTCTTGCTTTGCAGTTTTGTTGTAATAAATAAATATTTTGTCCCTAGGTGTCATGTGGCAAACAAAACATGTCCACAAAATTACATTTGGAATAATCACATCTGCAGATGTCTGGCACAGCGTGATTTCAGTTTCTCTTCCTACCTTGGGGATACTGGTAAGCAAATAAGCAGAAAGTAAATCTGTATAAACTATAAACTTTCCGAGTTGTTAAATTCCTTATAACTATTTATTTACAGAATATGGCACAATTTAGCTATGTTTATCTACCCTTCATTGTAGGATTATTTAGAGACATGGGTTGGATGTAATTCACTAACTGAAAACTAAAATTAGCAGACACACTTTTCTGCAATGCCTGGAGCAGAATTTATTTTTTCTCGAACCTTGTTCTTCTCACAGATACTGCCGAAGGATTCCATGATATTTGTGGACCTAATAAAGAGCTTGATGAAGAAACCTGTCAGTGTGTTTGCAAAGGGGGAGTGAGACCTTCCACCTGTGGACCTCATAAAGAATTAGACAGAACATCATGCCAGTGTACATGTAAAAATAAACTGCTGCCAAGTTCATGTGGACCAAACAAGGAGTTTGATGAAGAAAAATGCCAGTGTGTGTGTAAAAGAACATGTCCTAAACATCAGCCATTAAATCCTGCAAAATGTATCTGTGAATGTGCAGAATCACCAAATAAATGTTTCTTGAAAGGAAAAAGATTTCATCACCAAACATGCAGGTAAGTGTATGGGTATAATATATTGTGTAACCATGACAAATTGCTACTAATCAATAAGGTGCTGATCACATTACTAGCATGCTTCTGTAGCACAGTTACATGCATACATTGTAATGTGACTAGAACCTTGTTAATTAGCAGTAATTCACCATAGTGAGTTATGCAATTCAACTTCCACACATGTAAATTACTAACAGGATTCTGGCCACTATTTTTGTAGCATTTTTGTAACAGTTTTTTCTATTTCTTCAGCTTGCTGATCACACAATATGTGCTTAATCTCTGATAAGACTGATACTTATCAAGATGGAACAACATACACAACTTTTACCAGCCCAAAGTTAAAACACATCAATTGTCATATATAACAGCCTCAACAAAAATACTGTTTAGTATGTGCTTAGAGTGCCTGAATAATATGTATGTGGGAATATTACAGCAGTTTTTCAAGAACAGTGGCTGGAACTATACTTTACCGAAAGCTTATAGTTAGGTTTTCCAGAAGTATTGCTTTTTGCAACCTAGTATCTTATCATAATGTCCTGATCTTTCTTGATCTCTTCTAGGTTCCAAATTAGATATTTTGTTTCAGAGTTATACACTGAATTAGTTTGCATTCTGGTTGCTCAGACAAAATGATAGGTGAGGACTATACAGTTGAAGCAGGAACATGTACCTTTCTTCTAATGCCAGCCTAGCTATAATGTCTAATTTGGCACACGGACCTAAGCCAAAGCAGATTGTTCAGAAAATTTGTTCCATTGTCTGCTACATCATCTCATTTCTCATGCTTATATATAAGACAGGATTTGTTTGAGATTTTGTTCCTAAAGATGTAATAACTGTCAAGAAACCATACTTACATTTGTAATATATTTCATATGCTTCAGTTAATCTGTTAACCAAACAGCCCAGGAATCAGTGGGATGGTGATTGTGATGTGAATAGCAGAAGGCCTTTCTTTGTATTATGATTTGTTTTCTTTATGAACCTCCTTTTTGTTGTATATGAAGCTAGTGAAACTATCTTGCTCTGCATTTGTTAGAATAGCACTGGTCATGTGGAATACTAAAATGTTTAAGCAATGTTATAGAGCTTATAAAGAAGAAATATTGTCTTTATCTAGTCTGAGTGAGCCACAAACAATGAGGTCCTTAGACATAACTTGTGTCTTGTGAGGTATTTTCCATGGAAAATGTAGACATTGATTTCAAACAGCTGAATCTTGACACCACTGCAAAAGTATCCTTAGAGGTTCTTCTTCTGTCTTATTGGATGTCTGTGGGTGCAAGAAGGTAACATAAATCCAGCTATATTTAATAGAGCAAAAACATTATTCGAGGTGGGATGGTATAATGCTGTATTTTTCCCTTCCAAGATGTCTACTGCTTCTATTTGATTTGCTTTATGTTTTTACAGATTTGGGAAGTTGCCTTTCTAGACTTCAGCTCTCGGAACCCCCCAGCCATTATGCCAGTCCTAACCCTAATACTGTGTATGAACCAATAGTCAAGTTGGCTGGCAGCTTTTTCTAAGCTTTAATTTTCTTCACTGTGGTATCTCAGGTGCTGTGGATTCAACCTTTCCTGTTTCGCTTCCTTCCTGATTTTCTGGTTAGTCTTCTAGAGAAGTGATTTCCAACCTTGGTTTCCCAGATGTTCTTGGACTAAAACTCCCAGAAGTTTTAGTTCAAGACTACTAGCTGTGCTGGATGGGATTTCTGGGAGTTTTAGTCAAAGAACATATAGGGACCAGGATTGGAAACCACTGTTGTAGAGACTCACCTGATGTGGATGCAGTCACTACTTGCTTTCTGTCTCGCCAAGTTTCCTGCTTTGAACTCTCAGGTGCTTTGGATGCAGCATTTCCCATTGTGCCTACTTGTCCGTAAACTCAATTACTTTTTTCCAAAAGTATTGCTTTTTGCAACCTAGCATCTTATAAATTCTCTTCTTTTGATAGGACTCAGTGTGTTGAATAATAATTATGTCAAGCTTAAGGAAGTCTTTTATGATTATACATAACACAATAATCCAGCTTCAGAAGGGAGAGGAACTCCTTAGTGTATTCGCAGAGGCTTTCATGGCCGGGATCTAATGGTTGTTGTGGGTTTTTCGGGCTCTTTGGCCATGTTCTGAAGGTTGTTCTTCCTAACGTTTCACCAGTATCTGTGGCCGGCATCTTCAGAGGACAGCACTCTGTGCTCTCT